TGTGGGATCTTGGGGGTTGGACGGCCATGGTCGTTTTGTGTGGTGAAAAAACAGCGTGGGCTCTTCGACTTCAGCTTTATGAAAGCCTGAGTGTTGCTGTCGGGAGGGGTCGAACCCAAAAGCAAGAGCATGTCCCAGCACATGAGATTCCGCTTCCTTCAGAAAGATCCAAAAACATCCCAAACAAGGAGAGGGGGATAAGAGGTGGGGAAGCATGGAAAGAACCTCTCCCGGCCGGGGCCCAGCAAAGAACCCTCGCTTCCAGTTCTAGGGTTTTTTTGGAGTTTATGTTCTCTCAATTCCTTGCAGGAGGCGGGGGGGGGGTGGCAAGGAACGTCCAGCAGTACGGCAGTGGTCCCTTCAAGAAGCCCAAGGGGCACTCCTTTGAATCTGGAGTAGCCTCGGCCCATGCCAGGGGTACTTTGTTGAAGTTTTTCCACCCTGAATCCCCCATAAAACCCCCATGAAGACATGAAAAACGGTATGTTTACAGGGCACCCCAAACTCGCCCCCAGTCGCTTTGGAAGGAGCTCAGGCAGGCAGAGAGGGCGACTCTGCGGGCGTGGCATGCGAGCATGCAGAGGTGCCTTCAGTGGAATCTTCTTTTTGTCGTGATTGTCATGATTGTGATAACAATCATAATCACTATTGGTATTATGAGCATTTTAATTCTTACAACTATTAGAGTGCTTCTATGGGGGGAAGCGCCCCTACCAGAAAATTGATTCCTTTAAGGGTTTTCCTAAGAATGACCCGAGCGTGGTACGCGGAGGGCACTCTTTGGGGGTTCTACTTTTTTCGATCATCCCAGGGGTCCTGGGTCAAGGGCCTTACCTTAAAAGGGGATGCAGACGGCGAGTGGACTGAGGACGTGCCAGGGTGACCAAACACGATAGCCATCCTGTCTCTGCGTATTGCTGGCGCAACCCCCCGCACCACAACCCAGACCCCTGGCAGGATCCAAGAAGTAGAGCCCCCCAAATTGTACCCTATACTTCTACTATTGGGTCATTCTTCGGAAATCCTTAAAGGGATCTGCTTTTTGGATCCTTCCAGGGGTCTGGGGGGAACCCATCAAGTTCGGGGCTTTCCTAAACCCTAAACCCTAAACCCTAAACCCTAAACCCTAAACCCTAAACCCTAAACCCTAAACCCTAAACCCTAAACCCTAAACCCTAAACCCTAAACCCTAAACCCTAAACCCTAAACCCTAAACCCTAAACCGCTGTCAGGCAACATGACATCGTGCAACTGGGTAGCTACCAGCTGAGCACTGTCATCGCCGTCATGGCCTGGGCCCAGGCCGGGGTCGGAGAGAATTTGTTTAGGGTTTAGGGTTTAGGGTTTAGGGTTTAGGGTTTAGGGCCTTGGGAGGGAAGCTTTCGCTCGGGCGTAGCGGGGAGGTTGGCTTCTGAAGGGCGGGTCAGCCGGGTTTAGGGTTTAGGTTTTGCAAGCCGCTGCCTTGCAAAGGAATATGAATGGTCAGTTTTTCAAGTTCGGGTTCCTTTCTGGGGTACCCCTAAATATGCTTGTTTTGTAGCCCCAAAGGTGGCCCAGTGTAGAGAATCACCGACATATGGTGGTTTTTGATTATGATGGTTTCAAAAAGGCCCTTGAAAACTCAGTGGAATCGTTGGCGGTTTTTTTTGGGGGGCCTGTCAAGAAGAAGAGGAGAGAAGCATCCCACCTCTTCGCCCCCAGGGTTTAGGGTTTAGGGTTTAGGGTTTCTTTGTTGCCTTGTCTTGCCCCCGCTCTTCTCTCTTGACAAATCTTTGTCTTGCTCGCAGGTGCGTTTGCATTGGCACATGAGAAACATAACTTCCATTGCGAAAACCGTAGTAGTATCCCGGATGGTTTGGACCCGTTTACACCCTGAAACCCCTAGCACATGATACTAACATTCAATTTGGGTTACTGATGGAAAGAGTGAGATCACGAACCACATTCTGCGTCACCTCTAAGTGAGCCACTTGAACGAGTGATTCGACGGAGTCAATCAACAAATGGTGAACGTCACTCAAGGGCCCCAAGAAGCCCTCAGAGGGCCAGTTGAAAGTACTGCCATGTGCTGCCCATCCCCTCTTTCTGAAGGCCAATCCTCCAGCCTCTCACGAACCTAGCAGGAACACGCTGTGAACCGAAGTTCTATGAGACAAGATGTGTAGCGCCCCAAGTGTTCCTTCAACGTCCCTAACGGATAAGTCCCTGGACTCTATACCCCTCTAAACAGCGGTTTCCGAGATTAGGGTACCTGAGTGGGGCCCTGATCAGAAGGGAATCTTACTATTTGGGAGGTCTATGCTAGGGGTCCCCAATTTTCGTAAACTCCCCAACTACCTTCGTGATCCTTCAGGGCGCCATCATCTGGGAGGCGTTTCCGGCAGAGACTCTGCACACGGTGCTGGCGCTCACGCACGTGCCTTGGGCGGCAGCAGAGTCGCCCCTATGTTTGCCCTAGCAGGCGGCCGAAAAACCGTGCAGAGTTTTTGTGGCGGTTCAGGGTCTTGGGGCGTCCTGGGCCTAAGGCCCAAGCTGGGCGAAGATGCAAGATTGCCAGTTTTTGACATCTGCATGTGCTTGGGAGCATTGGAAGGAACCCCCCCATCCATACTTCCCATCCGAATTTATAGCAGTTCCGGATGAGGTGCTCGGAGTGTACATGATCCATCGCTCGTGTTTGAGGCCGGGAGTCAGGGCGCGGGGTTTGGGGGTTCAGCCCAAAGAAATGAACAGGATGTCTGGGTTTGCTAGGCCATTCCCTTCCATCGGGCGCTCCCCACAATTTGCTTTTTGACATGTTCGGGCTGTTGGGATTGTGGGGATCGTGCCTTGCTTGAAGAGTTGTCGTGATCGCTTCAAAAGTAGAGGTCCATGACAGACTGTCGAGCCATCATCAAGCTATCGCCCCAAAACATTAGCTAATGCCAACCACAACCATCATTCGCAGAAAAAGAAAGCCCTTCTGTTTTGGGGCAAACTCCTTAAACCCTACCTTTTTTTTGGCACCGAGGGAACTTCTTGTTTGTTCACGCATGGCTTCTTCTCTTAATCTTCAAAATATTCAGACACTCCTACGCAATCACACAGTAAGCGAATGCACATCCAGTAAAAACCCCATTGAAGCACTCAAACCATTGTTTCAATATCTCGACACCTAATCTCAAGCCTGTCTCGATTCAATCCTCCCTAAACACCCTAAATCACCTCAAGCCCTAAACACTGAACCCTAAACCCTAAACCCTAAACCCTAAACCCTAAACCCTAAACCCCAAACCCTAAACCCTAAACCCTAAACCCAAAACCCTAAACCTGCGAGCCTTGGACAGGGATTCGGAGGGCTGTGAAGAAATTCTGGCAATTCCCGGAGCCTTAGCTTTGCATTGGCAGGTTCTTAGTAGGGGATGAAGGAATGAGGGCCCTTTTTACCCTTCAAGGGATTATGTAGGGCCCTCATTCCCTCATTCCCTACCTGACAACCGGGGGGGTTAAGAGCTGAGGGCTGGGAGAATTCGGCGTTGCTGTGAAGGCTGTTAGATGACTTAGAGGGTGTTGGGGTGAATTTCGGAGTTGCCGCCCTAGGCCGCAGGCTACGGATCCAGGGTCTGGTCCGCTCCCGTCTGCTTGTTGGTCGCCGGCGCTGTTGCGCGAACGCGCTAAACCCTAAGCCCACGAACATGCCCGGCGCGTGCCTCAGTCCCTTGCCTTGGCCTTGCATGCACTCCCTGGAGCAGTGGGCCCTGATGTAGAGCCGCCGCCCTGAAAGCTGCTGCTGCCCACCGAGGAAGAGTCGGCCGTCGGACCATCGAGATCGCGAACGAGCCACAGCTCGCCGGATGAGGAGGCCGGACAGTCTAAGGTTTAGGGTTTAGGGTTTAGGGTTTAGGGTTTAGGGTTTAGGGTAGCATGAGGCCTTCGTATGGTCCCTTACCCTTGTCCAGAGGGGTCCAAAGTATGGGGCCTCTTATGGTGTGTAGTGTATATAAGGGTTTATATAGCAAGGGACCCCAATAGAGGGCCCGGTACTTGAGTAAAGAGCCGCAGTGCGGACGATGGGGTTCGCAGTCACCTCCCATGGCGAAGCCTGTCTTGCCTGTAGCTTCTGGCTGGTTTCGGGTTTGGGGTTTAAGGGTTTAGGGGTCTAGGGGTCTAGGGGTTTAGGGTTTAGGGTTGAGGGTTTAGGGTTTAGGGTTTAGGGGGTTGCGTTTACCTTTGCATGGTGGGGTGGGTGCGTTTCGCTGAGTTGGGAAGCCCTAAGCACCAGAACCCTCAACCCTGGCATCCATGCAGTGCGGCACATGACACCCCTACCAGCTAAGGCACCAACCTCTCTTCATGAAGATTCGCGCGCTGATGGCCCTGAGCCCTAAATCCTATGCTACACCTCGAACTCCAAACCATGAGATCGTCGTGAGGGTCGCAGTCGATGAGATGGTTAGTTCCTTCCCCTTATCTTGGCGCCCCGAAAAAAGAGTATGCCTAGAAGGCCCCATTTTTTTCTTAAACCCTGCTATGGGGCTTGGAGGGTCAGACTGCACAAACGCGTAATTTCGGGTTGAACCCCAGGCCTTTGCTGAAGTCGAGCAACAGGGCTGCTTCACAAAGGTATACCCCGCCCGAAGCCCCAAATTGATTGGCTCTGGTCAGCCAACATCAGAGCCGGGTATCCTGCAGGAGTTCTTGGCCCTGGGTTGTTGATTAAACATGCTTTTTCCTGGACCACTTTCCGATACTCAGCTTGCTTGCTGTCCGGCAGGTGCCCTGGCTAATTAAGGCATGAATTAGCTTCGAATGTGCCATGAGGCGACGAAGGCTGTGTGCAAAAAGATTTATAGGGATCATGGTACCCCCCTGCTATGGACTGGTAGCATCAGGGGGAACATCCCAACTCATGCCCATGAACCCTGTGGCAGGCCGCTTGATTTCTAAAGCTGGTCGCCGGCTGTAAGCACCGGGGCCCTGGGCCTTACCAGCTTTAAGCACTTGAACCCCAAGCCCACGAGGAGGGTGACGTGGTCTACTGGAGGCCAAGCCGTGACGACGGCTGGTCCACAGTGCCTGGGCTTTGCCTATACCCTAAACCCTAAACCCTAAACCCTAAACCCTAAACCCTAAACCCTAAACCAGAGAACCCTAGACCCTAGACCCTAGACCCTAGACCCTAAACCTAGACCCCAGACCCCAGACCCTAGACCCTAGACCCTAGACCCTAAGCCCTCAACCCTAAACCCGAATACCCAGGGTAGCCATGTTGGCTCAAGATGCAAAAGAATGACTTACTAGTAGTACAGAGTGCTATTTTGCGGTTCGACTTTTTGGATCCTCCCGGGGGTCTGGAAACGAGTCGTGAAGTCATCGCCAGTTCCGATGTAAGAAGCCTCTGAGCTAGAAGACCCTGGGACCCAAAGAGCCCAATATTGCTTAATTAAGGAACATACCCTTAAATTATCATAGGGATCCTTAATGTGATGTACGGTATATTCCTTAGTTAAGCAATATTGGGCTCTTTGGGGAAGCCCAACCCAGGCACTGGTCCTGGCTGTCCAAGTCTTGTACGAGCCCTCCAGCGGGCCGCATGGTGACGTGGCATGAGTCCATGAGTGAGGCTTGTCTTGGCGCATAGGGTTTAGGGTTTAGGGTGTAGGGTTTAGGGTGTAGGGGGAAGGGTGTAGGGTTTAGTGGGGCCCATGTCTTGCACAGCTCCCGAAAGACCCCCCTCGAAGGGGTAAAGCTTGGGCAACTGACAGAGGGTCGAAGTCTAAACCCTAAACCCTAAACCCTAAACCCTAAACCCTAAACCCTAAACCCTAAACCCTAAACCTTAAACCCTAAGCCCCAAACCCTAAACCCTAAACCCTAAGCCCCAAACCCTAAACCCTAAACCCTAACCCCTAAACCCTAAACCCTAAACCTCTGCCAAGGCTGGATTTACCTGCAGCCCCTTCTGCCCGGAAAGGGCGACCTCTTCGATGCCGACGAGGATGCGGAGATGGAACAGGCGAGCAGTTCCAAAAAGTTTTGGGGTTTAGGGTTTAGGGTTCAGGGTTCAGGGTTTAGGGACAGGCTCACAATTCTTGGGTATGCTAGAATACAAGGCCCCGTAGGGTTTGGAATCAGGGTGTCCGATTTAAAGCATCTCTTTTTTTTTAGGGCGTGACAATATGGGGGTGTCAAAAGGTTTTTCCCATTCTGGGACATCCCATACTAGTCTGGGGCCCTTACAGAGTCCGAGAAGTCCTCATTGAAATAAATCCGGCCCCTAAACCCTAACCCCTAACCCCTAACCCCTAACCCCTAAACCCTAAACCCTAAACCCTAAACCCGTACCAGCTTTGGCATGTCTGCTCCCCCCTACCAACTTTGCCATACTCCTGCCCTGGGCATGGATTCAAGGGTTCCTTTTGGAGGGCGCTCCTAGTAAGAGCCAGGGCATCGCGGTTGTTGTCGCTGTGTTACTTGTTTTATCAGGTTGGCTGTCCTGGCCCACTAATGGCACAGCGCACTTGTGCCCTCCCCTCCTGCTTTGGATTGTGTAAGTGAACGTTGGGTAACTTGTGTGAGTGGATGTTTGATATGCAAGAGGTCAGGGGAAGGTGCAACATCTTGGCAGATCGAACTGAAGTTTGTACACAGCATTCCCTCTCCAGCTGCCCCGTGGAGCATGGCTAGACGGGTGGCAAAAAAAGAAACTCTAATCCCTAAACCCCAAACCCTAAACCCTTGTTGGTGTAAGGGCTGGGCCTCACCTTGTCCCTGAAGGCCCGAAGCATGGAGATTTCCGTTTTCAGGGTTCACGGGTTAAGTCTTCAGGGTTGGACTGAACTCCAGATAGAGTTTTCCGGCTTAGGGGTTGTTTCCTAGCGAACACGAACGGGACAGCATTTCGGGGCGAGACCACGCAAGCCTGATGCAAGAGGTTGTTTTCTGTGGTGCAGAGCAGGTAGAGCCCGTGAGCCTCGACGGCGTCAATTGGGCGTTCGTGCCTTGGAAGTGCACGTAAAAATTGGAGAAGTACTGACATGTTGGGGATATTTAATACTTTTCTCGTTCCAAAACTTACAGGTTTCTGGGAGGTAAAGCCCAAGTAGTTACCTCGTGCCTGGTTGAGATGCAAAAAATCCAAATAGTCCTTCCTCTCTTACCCCTGAGCCCGCCCCCCCCCCCCCCTGCCCAAACATACAATGGGGTTTAGGTTTGGGATTTAGTGCCGTGGCACTAGACCCAAAACCCTTCCCGGATGACTTCTTGAGACATGGACAGATTCTTTCCTACAATGTGGCCGAGTGTGAGCTTGGGGGTGGCAAGAAAAAGCACCCCTAAACCCTAAACCCTAAACCCTAAACCCTAAACCCTAAACCCTAAACCCTAAGCCCTAAGCCCTAAGCCCTAAGTCCTAAGTCCTAAGTCCTCTAGACTTTGACAAGGCCAGCCACGCAGAGGAGATCGGAGGAGGGGCTTGGAAAGTGTCACCCCCTGAATACCTCCCGCCGTAGAGAGGGCGCGGTCCAGGGTGTAGGGTCTACTATCCGGGGTATTTGGCCTAATGGCCTAATGGTTTTGGCCGCCGTTGAATTGGGGTCTCTGTCCCAGACAAGTCGCGATTGTGCCTAGCCGCAGAAAGTTCAGGACAAAGCTACGCAGTTCTGTCACGACAGTCAAAAAATGCGGTATCGTGTTGCGTTCAGCTCCCGAAGTTAGTATGACATATACTAGATTAAGAAACAAATAGTTAAAGTGCTATATGTTACACATATATATATATATATGTATATGTGTATGTATATGTCCATATAAATGTAAATATAAATACAAATATAAATACAAATATAAATACAAATACAAATAATACAAATAAACATATAAATATCATAGAACATACATACATATATATATATATTAATAAAATTTAGATATATATATATATGTATATATATATAATATTTATTTATTTTATTTATTTATTTATTCATGTATTCATTTATTTTTTTCTTATGTGGCGAGACCCTCGGGGATGGCACGGGAGAGAGAGAGATATATATAGGAAGATATATATATATATATGTACGAAGGACCTTTATGTACTATTTGGCGTGTGGCTTGGCTTCTTCAGGCAGAACTTAGGAAGTTAAGGAATTTAAAGAATTTAAGGAGGCCGGGCCTTAATTTAATTTTTTTTAAATCCTTAAATTCCTAAATTAGGGCTAATTTAGGAATTTAAGGAATTTAAAGAATTTAAAGAGGCCTAAATGCGTTAAATTCCTTAAATTCCTAAATTAGCCCTAATTTAGGAATTTAAGGAATTTAAAGAATTTAAAGAGGCCGAAATTCTTAAAATTCCATAAATTCCTAAATTAGGGCTAATTTAGGAATTTAAGGAATTTAAAGAATTTAAAGAGGCCGAAATTCTTTAAATTTCTTAAATTCCTAAATTAAATTAAATTGGTTCTGGGCCGTAATTTAAAATTTTATAAATTCCCTAAATTCCTTAAATTCCTTAAATTCCTTAAATTCCTTAAATTCCTAAATTAGGGCTAATTTAGGAATTTAAGGAATTTAAAGAATTTAAAGAGGCCTAAATTCTTTAAATTCCTTAAATTCCTAAATTAGGGCTATTTAGGAATTTAAGGAATTTAAAGAATTTAAAGAGGCCGAAATTCTTTAAATTCCTTAAATTCCTAAATTAAATTAAATTGGTTCTGGGCCGTAATTTAAAATTTTATAAATTCCTTAAATTCCTTGAAATTCCTTAAATTCCTAAATTAGGGCTAATTTAGGAATTTAAGGAATTTAAAGAATTTAAAGAGGCCTAAATTCTTTAAATTCCTTAAATTCCTAAATTAGCCCTAATTTAGGAATTTAAGGAATTTAAGGAATTTAAGGAATTTAAGGAATTTAAAAAATTTTAAATTACGGCCCAGAACCAATTTAATTTAATTTAGGAATTTAAGGAATTTAAAGAATTTAAAGAGGCCTAAATTCTTTAAATTCCTTAAATTCCTAAATTAGCCCTAATTTAGGAATTTAAGGAGTTTAGGGAATTTAAAGAGGCCGAAATTCCTTAAATTCCTTAAATTCCTAAATTAAATTAAATTGGTTCTGGGCCGTAATTTAAAATTTTATAAATTCCTTAAATTCCTTAAATTCCTTAAATTCCTAAATTAGGGCTAATTTAGGAATTTAAGGAATTTAAAGAATTTAAAGAGGCCTAAATTCTTTAAATTCCTTAAATTCCTAAATTAGCCCTAATTTAGGAATTTAAGGAATTTAAGGAATTTAAGGAATTTAAAAAATTTCAATTTACGGCCCAGAACCAATTTAATTTAATTTAGGAATTTAAGGAATTTAAAGAATTTAAAGAGGCCTAAATTCTTTAAATTCCTTAAATTCCTAAATTAGCCCTAATTTAGGAATTTAAGGAATTTAAGGAATTTAAAGAGGCCGAAATTCCTTAAATTCCTTAAATTCCTAAATTAAATTAAATTGGTTCTGGGCCGTAATTTAAAATTTTATAAATTCCTTAAATTCCTTAAATTCCTTAAATTCCTAAATTAGGGCTAATTTAGGAATTTAAGGAATTTAAAGAATTTAAAGAGGCCTAAATTCTTTAAATTCCTTAAATTCCTAAATTAGCCCTAATTTAGGAATTTAAGGAATTTAAGGAATTTAAGGAATTTAAAAAATTTTAAATTAGGGCCCAGAACCAATTTAATTTAATTTAGGAATTTAAGGAATTTAAAGAATTTAAAGAGGCCTAAATTCTTTAAATTCCTTAAATTCCTAAATTAGCCCTAATTTAGGAATTTAAGGAATTTAAAGAATTTAAAGAGGCCGAAATTCTTTAAATTCCTTAAATTCCTAAATTAAATTAAATTGGTTCTGGGCCGTAATTTAAAATTTTATAAATTCCTTAAATTCCTTAAATTCCTTAAATTCCTAAATTAGGGCTAATTTAGGAATTTCAGGAATTTAAAGAATTTAAAGAGGTTCTGGGCCGTAATTTAAATTTGTAAATTCCTTAAATTCCTTAAATTCCTTAAATTCCTAAATTAGGGCTAATTTAGGAATTTAAGGAATTTAAAGAATTCAAAGAGGCCTAAATTCTTTAAATTCCTTAAATTCCTAAATTAGGGCTAATTTAGGAACTTAAGGAATGTAAAAAAAATTCAAATTAGGGCCCAGAACCAATTTAATTTAATTTAGGAATTTAAGGAATTTAAAGAATTTAAAGAGGCCTAAATTCTTTAAATTCCTTAAATTCCTAAATTAGGGCTAAGTTAGGAATTTAAGGAATTTAAGGAGTTTAAGGAATTTAAAAATTTTAAATACTTTAAAACACCCTTTAAAGGTTTAAAAGTTTTAACATTTTTAAGGGTTTAAAATTTTTACAAGTTTTAGAAGCTTTGGTGGTCTAAGGCGTTTTATAAGTTTTAAACGTTTAAAAGTTTAAATATCATCACATAGGAAGAGCAGCCCGATTTGGCCAAATTTTGCCCGAAAGCTGCCCGGCAAATTTTGGCCAAATCGAGCCGCGCCTTTCTGATTGCATGCAAGGAGCAGCCCGATTTGGCCAAATTTTGCCCGAAAGCTGCCCGGCAAAATTTGGCCAAATCGAGCCGCGCCCTTTCTGATCGCATACAAGGAGCAGCCCGATTTGGCCAAATTTTGCCCGAAAGCTGCCCGGCAAAATTTGGCCAAATCGAGCCGCGCCTTTCTGATCGCATGCAAGGAGCAGCCCGATTTGGCCAAATTTTGCCCGAAAGCTGCCCGGCAAAATTTGGCCAAATCGAGCCGCGCCTTTCTGATCGCATACAAGGAGCAGCCCGATTTGGCCAAATTTTGCCCGAAAGCTGCCCGGCAAAATTTGGCCAAATCGAGCCGCGCCTTTCTGATCGCACACAAAGAGCCCGATTTGGCCAAATTTTGCCCGAAAGCTGCCCGGCAAAATTTGGCCAAATCGAGCCGCGCTTTTCTGATCGCATGCAAGGAGCAGCCCGATTTGGCCAAATTTTGCCCGAAAGCTGCCCGGCAAAATTTGGCCAAATCGAGCCGCGCCTTTCTGATCGCATACAAGGAGCAGCCCGATTTGGCCAAATTTTGCCCGAAAGCTGCCCGGCAAAATTTGGCCAAATCGAGCCGCGCCTTTCTGATCGCATACAAGGAGCAGCCCGATTTGGCCAAATTTTGCCCGAAAGCTGCCCGGCAAAATTTGGCCAAATCGAGCCGCGCTTTTCTGATGGCAAAATTTGGCCAAATCGAGCCGCGCCTTTCTCATCACATACAAAGAGCAGCCCGATTTAACCAAATTTTGATCTCTCCCTCTTTCTTTCTCTTTCGCTCTCGCTTTGTCTCTTTCTCTCTCTCTCTCTCTTGCCTTTGTCTCTGTCGCTCTCTCTCTCTCTCTCCCTCCCTCCTTCCTTCCTTCCTTCATCCCTTTCTATTCTTCTCTTCCTTCTGCTTGTTCTTTCCTCTTTCCCGCCCCTCCCGTTTTCTACTTGCCATTCAACAGGGAATGAAAGAAGAAAGTCAAGGATAAGAAAGAGAAGGTACTGACAACAGAGGAGCTGGAATTCTCCTTCAAGAAGGAAATAGAACCACAGAAAGTCAAGGGTGAGAAAGAAGTGTGAAGGTACAGACAAGAGAGGGGGAAGAGGAGGAGTTCTGCTTGATCCTTCTCACTACCCTCTATCTACCTACATCTCTCTGTCAATTTTTTCTCTTGTTGGAAACGGGGGACAGGATCTTACTGTCCTCTTTTCCCCTCTCGCAGTCTTCTCTCAAACCCCTGGGAGGCCCTTTCAGGGAGCCCCTCAGGGAAGCCCCCTTGCGAAAACTGCAGGCTCCTGGTGGATATTGAAAGAAGCAGATTCACAGAAGAAGGGAAGGCTCGAGAACGACAGATACGGAGCAAGGGATAGAGAAACGGAAAAAGGAGAGAGAAGCAACTATCCTCTCCAAGCTGTTTTCAGAGTGACCCCAAAGACCGGGGTGGGCGTGAGCTCGCCCCTTGCCACTCGAAAGCCTCCCCTTCTTGAAACAAGCAAAAGGCAGGAACCCCTTCTTTCAAAGAATCCGTGTCAGAAGAAAAAAGGATACTGCGATAGCCCCTCATTCGTATTTTAATTCCTCCCAGATGCTTTCGGCTCTTTTCCTTGATAGATGAGTGGGTCCGTCCTCTTCTTTCGGGGTGGGAGAGTATATTTTCTTAGAATGAGCCCTTCCGTGCATTCTTAAATCAGAGGTAGCCCGGCCTATGTTGAATACAGATAAGGGCGTTGTCCTGAAAGGCTCTCCTGTTCTAAGGAACACCATGAATGATAGAAGCCTTCATTTGAAAAGGAATCAAAGAGCCCCTCCAGCATTTCAATAGACGACAGGATTTCGCTGTTCTCAGGAATGCTATTGTCTTTAACAAGCTCTCTTTCTCCTTCCTTTCGTTCTCCCTCTTCGTGCGCCCGCTTTCTGCACTCTCCCTTTCTTGCGTCCCTTCTGCGGG